TTAGTATTCCAGCAATTGTTAGGAAAATTGATGATTTCTTTAATCAGTGTATTATGTCTGCCATAGGTGATAATGTCTGACTTTTGAAACCACAAGGACCACGTGGAAATTTCAGCTGGTCTTGAAAGGAGCCGGTATGTTGTTGATGAAAGAAGTGCAGCCAAGGGCTGGCTCTACCTCTACCACCAGGCAGAGTGAGGCAGTTTCTCCTTCCCGCCCCCCCCTCACGACATGGAAAGGAACGGAAATCTTTTAACGTTTGGCGCTTTACAAACGCCCCTGAGGGTGAAGGAGTCGCCTACCCCCCCTCCTGCCAACCCGTTCCAAAACGGAGTAACGAACTACCTTCTTGGGAGGGGAACCTCGTCAATTCCACTGGCTAAGACATCGTTCCTTTCAAGGAGAGGGTTAGGGGGCCAATATTTTGCCCCCAAATCATCTATATTCCCTCTCCTTGGAAGGAACGATCTCTGATGTCTTATATAGTTATTATATATATAACAATTATAAATATTTTAAAAACTAGATATTAAAAAACTTTATTAAATTTTTAACCTGCAGTTTTTCAGACAAAAAGGAAGGCTTGACAGCCATTCTCAGGAAGGGATTAGATCCACACATGCATAAGCTTAATTTTTTAATATAAATTTATAACTGCATTTTTATGCCAAATAAAGTATTTGGGAGGGGGGGCTCCAATCAGGGGATCAGGATCAGATCAACTCACATTTCATGTATTGTAAGCTGCTGTTTGTGCTAAAAACCAGGCCGGGAAGCATTTAACAGAGCAGGTGAAACCCAAGGGCAGAAACTCAGATTTATAAGCCTTTAATGCCTTCAGGAAAGGCATTCGAGGGTTTTGAAGCCACAGAGGAGGAAAAACATGGTTCAAGTTACTGATTTGAACCCTATTTTTCTTGCAAAAGGTCCCCAACTCAAATGGGGATTGGCTGTGTGTGATAAAAGGCAAATCAAAATAATTTGCAATTAATTATGGTATAAAATATTGCATTCGCTGGCCACTTGGGTCAAAAATCCTCCTGCAGGCAATGTTCTCGGCCCTCCTTGGGATCATGAAGGGGGGGGGGAGTTCTCCTTCCAAGCCAGTTGCCTAAGGCTGCTGAAAGAGACAAAATATTAATATTAAACGTTGGACGCTAAAATGTGGATGCATGCATAAGCAGCCCTTCTCTCACACACACAAAGGGAGAGTCATGTCCTGCTCGTTTCCAAAGCCATGATTTTTTTTACTAAATAAAAGAGTAAAAAGTGCTCTGAGCCCAAGAACTTTAAAGATACCCAAGAAGCAAATGTTGGATGTTCCTATTAAGTCTTCTAAGGGCCTGCAGAACTCCCAAAGGTGCTCAGCACACCCAAAGGGCCTTCCTGCCAAGTGCTTGGATCAAAAAAGCCAGTTATACAGGAGAGATCTGTTTCTTAACAGATCTCTCCTGTCTCATAACAATATCACAAGGAGAGACCTCGATGCCTCAGGTTTTCCAGCTTCTCCATCTCTTTGCAAACCACTTTTTCCGTGTGTCTCCAGATTTCGGGACTCGCAGAGGAGCCTCGGTTATCTCTGGCCATTCCCAGAGAGAAGAAGGACACAGAAAAAGGAAGTAACAAATTCAAGAGAAGGCAGGATCGCGACCTTCCCTTAAAGAAGGGGGGAAAAAGCAACCAGTCAGAATTAAATAATACGGCCCAACCAAGCAGCACTAATATAGAGATTTTATTCAACTGTATTGAATTTCTTACAGCACATTGTTTGTCACAAAGCTACTGATCTGATTTTGGAGTTGTTGTTTGCCTGAAGACAGAGACACAAACCTGTGAGAGCTGAAAGCAATTATGATTAACCATCATGGACTTGAGGGGCCTCTTTCTCTCCAGATTTTCCTTCCTGATTTTCCTTTGTGTATGTGTGTTTTAAACATCTGTGCAAATGAGCTGAAAATGGAACCAAGTCCGACACTCTTCCCCGACTTTAATCACTTTATACACAGTTCAGAGTATGGCAACGTCAGAGATCCCACCTTTACCTCTAATGAGGGTGTTTTTTTTCTCTCTCCCTGAAGGCAATTAATTCCAAGGAGATCCATTATGAGAGGATGAGGCTGACTTTTAGGCTAATGACCCAAAGCAGGCTGAAACGCGGAAGCAAACAAAAACGGGAAGACAGAACCATGGACACTGCAGAAAAAACATTAAGAACAGCCGGTCCGATTCCCAGGCTGCCAGCAAGAATTCAATCTTGAGCGTCACATTCACATTCGTTCCACGTGAGGTGCCTTAAGGGCTTGTGGGGTGCACAATCTTGTTCATTCTGTAGCCCCTTCTACAGACCTATAAATCTGGAATAAAATAGTCATGAACACTATGAAGACCTGTGGAAATAGCAGCACCTCACACCTTCCTTCCTTCCTTTCTAAAATAGCTTATCTGGATTTGAAGTGAAAGCATTTGTGCTGGGAACATGCAGCCCTGCAGATGTTGCTGGACTGCAACTCCCATCATCCCCAGACAGGAGAGCTGCGTGGAGAATCATGGCAGCTTCAGCCCAGCGACATCCAGAGGGCCACACTCCTCCGATCCCTGCACGAGGCGTAAGGCTGCTGTGCTGGCCCCACCGCAAGTGGGAGAGGAATTTCCAACAGGACTATGCTGACATGAGAATGAACCAGAAAGTGTTCCTGTAGTGATGGTGGAGCATGGCCTGCGTAGTCCCTTGCGCCTGCTTGAGTGACAAGAACAGGGGAAAGAATCCCTATTTGCCAGTGTTCTCTCCCCCCCACCTGCCACTTGTGAAATTAGCACCCCACCCACCCTCATTTTGTTCTACAGCTTCTTAAGTGCAGAGAAATAACATTAGCAGCAGTTTGGACTGAAACCTTCAAGCGCACCAAACAGCACAGTCTAGGAGGTAAAGACATCCCACGTAGCCAGCCAGCCTTTAGGCTGCAGGGTGGTCAGGATCAGGAGCAACCAGAAAGAGGGAGACACAAGGACAGCAGAAGGGAGAGAGAATGCGCACTGCGGTATGGATCGGGAGAAAGCGCGAGGCGCCTCTCCCAGAAAGACCACTAGCAAGAAACCAGCCGTCCAGCACCTGCAGCAGTCAAGAAGTGTCAACAGCCCGGTCTGACTCTGTTTTCCAGACGGCACAGCCCGGCTGCTGGGAGAAAGGTTCTTTCCCATGATGGAGAGACAGGAGAAGTGCAGAGGCACCTTCTGCTACCAGGACCGACGCTGGCCTCGGGCTGTACGGCGAAGCAGCTGGCAAGCAGAACATGGCTGAAACATGACTAACACAGCCAGGGTGAGCTTCTGCAGAGACCCCCCCCCCTCTGGGGTTGAGCTCCACTCTCTTGCGCCATTCAACCTGCCTGCCTTTCAAGAGATGGGGAGAGAGTCTGATGCTAACCATGACTTCTTAGCACTTCGGGAAACCAGGCGGTTCAACGCACCACCCGCTGCTAACCCTCTGAAGAAAGACACCCTCCGACTCAGCTTCGGGCCTTCCTCCAAGACCAGAAACAGTGCCATATACACGTGGGCCATATCACACTCTTTAATCCAATTTCCTCCTCTCTGTTACACAGGGCACCAGGTGGGAGAAATCACCAACAGTGCATAACAAGGCTTGGTGATCCAAGTGCTGTGCTACCGACCTCCCCGTTGGCCACCCCCCGGGGTGGGGGGGGGCAGCCCTGTCCTTTCCCTGTCCGCACGGTGGAAAAGGCCAGGCTCCGACAGGTTCCCTCGGCGGCTGGCGCTCAGCTGGAAGCTGTGGCAATGGGTTTCTTCAGATGCTGGCTCATAAGTTCCCTGGCACGGGAGACCTGGATGTGGTCGTAACAGGAGTTGCAGACGAGGACCGGGTCGTAAAGCTGCTGATCAGGAATGGGCAGCTTCAGATGACAACAGCCGGCGCAAAACACATTCCCGCAGTTCCTGGGGAAAGAAGGAAAACAATATACAAAGGCGGCCGTGAGCCTGGAGCCAAAGGTTTGGGGTGCGGAGGGGTGTGTGAAGAAGAAATAGCTCAGTTTCTTCTCATCTTGCCAAGGCAGTGCAGGGACGTCTGCTAAGCCCTCCCCTCCAAGACCCCTCTATGCAAAACCTGCCTTGTTTCCTTTGGAGAAGTAAAGCATGCGCACACAAAAAGCACGGAAGAAGGTCTGGTTGACTGAAGAAAAGTTCATGGAACAAGGCAATGGCTATCAGGGTCTTGCACAACTGTGTAACTCGGAGAAGGTAAAGCTTATTCTCAAAAATGCAAGAACCCATGCTGATTCTTATGTTTCACTGCCTCACAAGCAAGGAGAAAAAAAAAATCCGCCATCAAGGAGGGACATGTCTGTCTAAAAAGAGGTGGCTGAACTGACACAAGGCTCCTAGGAAAACAGACGCTTGATTAGCACGGACATGGCTTGGCCAGTACTATTTGAAGATCACAGATCTTTCCGGGAGCTGAGTGCCCTCTTTTCGTGACCTGCGGCCATGGCTAGACACGAGACCACCATCTAAGATTCACTGCCTTAGAATACAAGTTAACAACTCAAAAGTGTGAAGGAGCCAGAGGAAAGAATGGTGTACAGAAAGTGTGAGATGAGCAAGAACTCCTTGCCTTAAAGATCTATATATTTTCATTCTCAGAAGCCCATCCCCCCCCCCATGAAGGCATTACATGAATGTGACTATGTTTTCTTGCCATTTTCTTGCTTAAAGGATATAGGGCACCCTGCTGCTAATATCTAAGAGGGAAACCGTATCTGCCCATCTCTGGACTTCTCGGCAGGGGGCCGACATGTACTACTGGTGTAGTCTCACTGGGATGAGCTGTCCTGCTCCTTCCCAGAGAAAGAGCCCCTCTAGAAGGCTGATCCAGTTCCCCTCCCCAGCGCATATTCCCCATAAACATTTGGGATGTAGCCATGAAGGGAAGGAAGCGATACGATCGACCCAGAAGGCCAACGGAGAAGCGCGTGAGCGGGACGGCAATGGCTCCTACCTGCAGTGATGCCGGCGTTTGGCAAGCCAAAACTCACAGTCACAGTTGAAGCAGTGCGAAGCCATATGGTCTGGAACCCAGCGTGTGACCTGCGGAGAAACCACAGCGAGTCAGGGCCACCTGAGCTCCCATTCCTTGGAAGCAACACGGGGTCTTCAAAAGTCAGGGAGCAGCCTTGACTTGGCGCACTTCAAGGTTTTGTTTGGAGTTCAGAGCACGGAATTTTTCCCCCCCTAAAGGATGCTTAATGGGAAAGAAGCATTTGAAAAAGCATGCCAAGGGGGAAAAACATGAGGAGGCAACAAGGACAGGTTACCTTGAAGTACACAAGGGCCAGAATCCCACTGGGGTTTGCCTAACGTTTGTAGAACTTGCCCCGGCTAATTGATGAAGGGCCAAGGTGTGTCTCTGTCACGGTCGTGCACCTGGGCTGCACAACCAAGATGCGCCCAAGCACCTCGTCTGACAGCCTCAGCAAGCTACGCCAATGCCAGTAAGGCTGCTGGCTGATAATATGAATGGAATCAGGGGAAAGGAGTTTCCTGTGGCTTCCATCGCAGGGAACGGCAGATAAGGGTTTTTAAAATAGGAGGTGGGTGGGCCCAAAGGTGGAGGGAAGGAAGGCCACGGGAATACGGAGGCCAGCTTTACGCCTCACCCCCTCCTCTTGCCAAGTGCTGGGACGCATCCTGCCAAAGGACCAAGGAGGTGTGTCGTACCTCGGTTTCCCTTTTATCCACAGGCTCCCAGCTTGCTTCAGAGAGGCAGTCTTCGCTGTGGTCGGAGAAGTCCTCGTTTTCGCTGCCGTCCGACTCCTTGAGGCAAGTCTGCAAGGGTGACAGGGACCCGATTACCGTCTTTGCACTCGCCCCCTGCTTTGCCCGCAGCCTCCGCTTTCGCAGAGAGGGACAGGGAATCATCACACACAAGAGGGTGAGGGAAAGCTGCTCTCCAGCCCGCTCACCATCCTTTCCCAGCTGCTCCGGGGTAGTTTGCTCTGGCTTTCAGCGGCTGTCCGAGATGAGGGGCCTTCCCATCCCCATTTCGTGTGGGGGTTTTTAAATGGGAGGCATTAGAGACCTCTGAGCCTGGAGAGGGGATTCCCGTACCCTGACCAAGGCTACGGCCTTGCTCCAAACAACAGCCAAAGAGTGGGACAGCCAGGGGAACTACTGAGATGTCCCTGGTGGGAAATGGGGACATGGAGGGAGGCGAGGCAAAAGAGAGGCCTATGTAAACGAAGGAGAGGCATGAAATATAAGGATTTAGCCTCTGGGAAGGGGGTCTTGCGTCGGCTATGCAGGAAATCCTCTGGGCCACCCGCATATTCCGGTTTGGAGGTACAGTCCTACCTTTGGAACTGCACAGGAGGGAGGGCTCTGTGTGTGTGTTCCCCCATCTCAAATTATATGCAATAAGCTGAAGACATGGTAGGAAAGCCATTTTCAGATCATCTAAAAGGGCCGCCTTGCAGAAGGTGGAGCCAACTTATTTATTCCTGGCCCCAGAGGACAGGATCTGCGCAGAAACTACAAGATGTGGGCTCAAGATCGGAAAGAACTTCCTGGTGATTATAATCAGAGGTGCCACTCTCCAATGGCAGCACCCGGTGGGTCTACTTCTTGACTGCGCCTCCTCCCTGGAGGAGAAAATGGGGGGGGGCAAACCCCTGAAGGGGCTGATCGAGGGGCCACTTACAAAGTCATCCTCGTAGTCCATCGGCGGCTCGACCGGTGGGGCGTAGCAATGGCGGATGTCCAGCCTGAGTTGTAGCTCCCGCACCTGCCGGCGCAGCTGCTCCACCTCCTGCTTGTAGGTAGCCTCGATCTGCCGCAGCCGGTGCTGGATCACGTCCGTGGGGAAGGGGAGCCCGTCGTCCTCCAGGTAGGGGGGAGGCCCCGGAGAAGGGCTGCTCGGCGGCACATGCTTGGCACCCAGGGCAGGCTTCCAGTGGCCAGGGAGCCATGGCTTGCTGGATTTCCCAGCCAGGCTCGGTCCGTGGGGCCTCCCACCTTCTTTCAAAGGCCACTGGCCGCTGAGGCACAGTCCCGAGGCCCAGAAGGGCCGCCCGCCCGGCCTTTTGTTACAGCAGCCGTAGTAGGAGAGGAGGCGGCGAGGGCCTGCGTCGCCCCCGGGAAGCGACGCCCCCATCCCCTGGAAACTGTCCCAGTTGGCAGCCAGGAGTGAGAACTCACTCATCTGGCTCTGGGAGATCCCCTTGCGCCACCACTCGGCCTGAGCCTTTCCCGGCTGGCTTCCCTCCTCCCCGGGCCTGGGGATGCCCCATCTGCCCCCCTCTTCTTTCGGGCCACCGGTCTTGGCGTCTTCCTTGGGGGCACCGGGCACTGGCGGGGGCGGACCAGGGGCATCAGGCGGGAGGGAGGGTTCTGAACAGCACGGCTCAACGAGATCCCAGATGCCATGAGACTCCGGGCCGACCGCACCGTCCTTCACACGGCTGCACGGAAACGTTGCTGATGGCTCTTCTGTTCCGGTCAAGTTGCTTAAGGGAATCTTCTCCTCAGAAGCACTTGGAGCTGGGTGGGCATGATCTGGCGCTTCTGGGCAGGTGCTGCCAACCTCTTCTGTCTCAGAAGCTGGGCCGTTTAAGGTCCGAGAGGCCGACGGCTTCCCACCATCAGAGCTGCCACCGCTGGCGGGATCCAGGGGGTCGCCTTCCTGCCGCCACCGCTGCTCAGCCACCCAAGGCTGTCCCTCGCCGGCAGCCATCTCTCTGCCTGCCATGGGCTCCTCCTCCTCCTCCTCCTCTGCGCTGGGGAGCCTGGGATCCAAGCCCACCCTGGCCTCCTGGCAGTGGTTGTTCAGATTTGGGTCACTTGATGTGCGGGTCAGCAAGCTGCTGGGATCGCAGGCGGAGAGCAGGTCGTCCATGGATCTCGTCTTTGGCAGCCTGAAACCAGAGGAGACAAGTCAGAGGAACATGCAGGTGTGTCAGCAGAGGAACTGGCAGAGTCATGGACCAGAATCAGCTCCCTGTTTGCCCCTGCCCCCCCGCCAGCCAAACAGGACCCCCCTCTAACTGGGAAGGCCTGCTAACCTGCACCCAGTTTTTAGGACCGACAGAAAGAGAGAGTGGGTGAGGAAAGCCTGACGGCTTCTGGCCATTTCTGGTAGATATGTCTGAAATTAAGGTCTTGTATCTCAAGACAAGAGATAAAATTGTGAAAGCTGCCGGACTGAGGCCACCTTCCACACCCTCTCCCCTGCACAATAACGAGTCTCCTTCCTCCAACCCTCTCCTTGCCCCGTTTTGTTCTTTTAGGGTTCCAAGAAGGAAGGGCCTTGACGGTGCAGAGGCAGTCACAGCTGTACGTGTAGGTGACCAAGGAAGGGAGCACGCACAAGAAATAGAAGGGGAACAGGGGTCGTGATTGTACATTTAAAAACAAGAAAGAAAATAAAAATGTTACATTTAAAATGGCCTGCGAGGGAGAACTCCATGAAAAGCTCCTTCCTCCACAGTCCATTCCATGGCCAAAAGCGGCCGCCTGGCAGCCGTCACAAGAAAGGCCCTCGGTCATTCCTCCATCGTGCCTGTGCTGGTGAGGATGGTGGGATGGGGAGAAGGGCCTCTTTTTAACATCTTAAAACCCAGAAAGTTCCTATAGGGAGAGATCCAGTCCTTCCAGTAGCCTGGACCCAGATGGTACAGGGACTTCTAGGTCATCACCCACACTCTGCATCAGCAACTGTTCCCTGAAGAGGAAATCAAGTTCTCCAGGGCCGGCTCCCGAGGGAAGAAGGGCTGTCTGGCCTCCTGGCCACCCTGCCTGGCCAGCCTGTCTCCTTACCTGTCCAGGGACCGGCTGCTAAACTCCTGGCTCTGGGCTCCCGAGGGCAGGTAGAGGTCCATTCCTTCTTCTCCCAGAGGGCATGGGGAGGAGGCCGGGAGGTACACAGATGTCCAGAGGTGGAGGGCTCGCACATGGCACACCGGATGCAGCACCTGGCAGGGCAGGAAGAGGAGGAGAGCCAAGTCATGACGGGGACCACCAAAATCTCACCGCGCGCCTGTTCCGCCCCACCCCCCAGCTCCTGATGGGAGCGGAAAGTCAACTCACCTGCTCGCTGCCAGGCAGGTAGAGAAGGTTATGGAAGTTCTTGTTGCCGGCTCTGAGAAGGGACCAGACGGAGCAGGTGCGCTTGGCGATGTTGTGCACGTCCCGCTCGCAGGGGCTGTTCCCGAGGAAAGTCCCGTACAGGCAGGAGTACGTGTGCTGTACAAGCTTCACCTGCACCGCCAAGAAAAAGGACATTTCGTCACGGATTTGGGGGTAAGACCCACGCAGGAACCCCCCCATCTCCGGGAGAGTGCCTTCTCCCTCAGTCTGGCTTTAAAAAGTTCTACATCTGCCCCCAAAGAGCCTCTGGATGGGGTCGGCAGAACGCCGTTCCAATTTCCATTTCAGTCTTGCTTCATACCAATGTGTGAAACTCAAAAGGACCTTTGACAGAGAGGAAAATGTACCCCTCGCAAAAGCCCAGAAACTACAAAAACTTGGCCCAATATAATGGACATTTTTATTCTACATGATGAAAAGAACACACCTGACTCACAAGGAGCACAGCTTGAGCAGCTTTAAAAAAAAAGGACAGAAACCAATGAGTGAGCCGTGCACAACTTGCAGGCATGATTCATTTGGGTTCAGCCATCATCTACCACCCCGTTCTCATTAGAAAGATAAACAACATTTTTTCACAGCCCGGGGAGGATCCTGCCCTGTTTCCCTAAACAGGCTGGTTTCCTCTCCTGCAGGTCGGTGGTCTTACCAGAAAAGCTTCATTAAATTCAAAAAGGCAGGGGAACTGCTTGAGCAGCTGGTGGACGGAATCCAGCCACTGCAGGAAGACAGGGCACAGCTCGTTCTGATCCTCCGTCTTCTCCTGGTGGCCACAGCGGTCCCCAAACTTGTGGCCGAAATCCAGCCAGTCTGATTCCACCAGCACCTGGAAACCCTGGCGGATAAATAAATAATAATAAAAAAGGGCACGTTTTCAACACCACAAGGGCTCGGGCCAGGCGGGAAGCCTTGCGGTTGCCGAGACGATGCCCCTCTCCCTGTGACAGCCTTCACTGGCTACAGGTAAAAACACCCTCTGAAGTGCAGGTGATCACCTGTAGAGCCCAAATAGGAGGCTCTAGCTACCTCAAGGACCTATGAAGAGAATCTAGGCTGCCCCCTCCTGCTGTCTGTCCCTCAGCCAGCAGCAAGCAGACAAAAGCAACCTAAACAAAATATAAATCACCTTTTAAAATTTAAACAGCCTTTTGGCTGCTGACCAGCAGAAGCGGGTGGGGCCTGACTCCAGCTAAGCAGCTGACTTCTCTTAGGAACATCTTTGTATATCATTTTATACTGTCCTTTTAATTTATTTCGAATGTAGTCCTCTTTTGTGCCTGAACTGACATCTCCTTCTAATTAATCTTACTGGGAGGCACCACCGGTTCCTGTCTCGTTTCAATAAATCTTTGCTTATTCCACTCCTGTAGGTAAGAACAAAACGTTTCAAAAGGTTTCTTCCCCACTGGACAGATTACAGATTCTGTGCCTCCTGCTTTCATTTCCATACTTTCTGGTGAAAATTTCACAGAAGTGTAAGGTTTGTGGCACTGGACAATCTTTTTTATTTTTGCCATTGATGCAGATTTTTAAAAACAGGAGGTTTTTTTTCCCCTTCCCTTTGTCATGCAGGACCACAAAGTCTCACCGGACCATCCATTTTTTCCCTTTACACTGTGTTTTAATGCACTGAGACACCTCTTCTCATTGTGGATGGGAGAACATCTCCCGTATTTTCTTACCTGCTTACCAGTCGCACACGTTGTATATTTCCTGGAAACAGTGGTTTTGCCTCTCCCCACCTCCCGTGCCCAAACAGTTTCCGAGAGGCCACCCTACCTCCATCGTCCTGTAATAGGGGTCCAGCAGGATCTTGGCTAGGGCTACAATCTGCGGGGTCCGGTCCCAGCCATCAGAGCAGTGGACCAGCACAGGGCGCCCCTCCCGATCCACGGCATTGGCGACCAACACGGCAGCCTTCAGCATGACCGACAGGTGTTGCAGCCACTTGGTGCTCTCCAGAGCAGACAGCCAGCTGGGGAAAGGGCACAAGGGAGGGAGAAAGCGGACAGCGTGAAGCTTCCGGCCAGCACGAGAAATCTTGCACGAGTGGGAAAAGAGAGCCCAAGTCCTTCGTGAGAACTTTGTAACAATATCAACACAAGCAATCCCCATCTTTCTCCTTCTGCCAAGTGTCTTTACGACAGACACCAGCCTGGAGAAGAAGCTTCAGTAACCACCGGCCACAAGCGCTGCAAGGTGATGAAGTCCCCTCCTGCTCTTTACCCCGCTTACCCCCACAAAAAAACCCCAGGATAAACTTTTTCTATGGCAAGCAGGGGAAACGGAGGGTGAGGTGATGAGGCTGGCCTAGAAGGACACAGCAAAGTGGCAGGAGCAGAGAGAGAAAAATGCTCCACATTGAGATCACCACCACTTTGTGCCATGAGAAGGAAAAGATATTTAGTTTAATTTAAAACATGTTTAACCTGGCTTTCCCTTTAAAGAGGACCCAAAGGGACTTACAATTAAAAGACAGTTTTTAAGATTAGTAATAATGAGTATACAATACTAAAAGGATCAAGGAATAAAATACCAAACCGCATAAGCAACACAAAAACCACATTCAATGCAGTAAGGTACAACAACTCATTTAAAAGCCCCACTCAAGGCAGCCGGTCATTCAGGGAAAGCCTGCCTGAAGAAAAAGGTCTTCATCTGCTTGCAGAAGGAGAGCCAAGATGGGGCCTGCCTGGCCTCCCGTGGCAGGGAGTTCCAAAGTCTCTGGGAGCAGCCACGGAGAAGGCCCTCTCCCGTGTCCTTGCCTTGCGTACCTGTGAAGGTGGCAGGACTGAGAGAAAGGCCTCCTCTGAAGATCTTAACACTCAAGAAGGCTCAAACAAAGAGCAACGAGGAGGGGCTCAAACAGCTTCCCCCACCCCCATGTCAGGTCTGAGACAGAGCATCAGCACAGCAGAGCAGGAGGCCTGGAGGATGCTGAGTGCAGGGCAGGACACAAAGCCACCCAGGAACCTGCCTGATCGTGCAGGCTTGTTAGGAGAACCACCAGGGTGGGTGGGTGTCCACTTCCCCATGTCGTTCCTCCATTCACAGGCCTCTCTCCTTCTCCCTGCTTTTCGCACCCAAATTGTTAGTTATCCCCACAGAGACCCTCAAAGAAACTGAGTGGATCAGACAGCCAGAGGAGCCGGGTCTCCTCCCCAACAGAAAGGGCCTGCTTTTTCTACGAGTTTCCCAACTCGGGTCCCCTCCTGAGCAGGAGCCCCCCCCCCGAGGGAACCACTGCCCCGGACTATAGACATCAAAGAGGAGCCCGAGACACACACGCATGCAGAAACCTGGATGGGGACTTACTTGCTGGGGTCTGGCATCTGGCTGCAGACGGCCCGCAGGTACTGGAAGCTGTTACGGATGGAATGGATGTTCGCCATGCCCATGAAGACCACCTCGCAGTTGGGGTAATATTCTGAAACAGAAGGGGGGGGGCGGCGGGCGGAAAGAATGACGGGTAATCAGAGGGGAAGCCCTGCAGCAGGAGTCTGGCCCTGTCTCCTGTCCCCCCCCCCCCCGAAACAAATTGCAACAATCTCTTAACTCCCAGGGAATGGTTTTTCTTATAGTCCTCCATGGCTGGACATGGTTTTTTAAATGCCATGCTTTCTGTTTCACCACAGAGCCTTAGGAAGACGGTGGAGAATTGAAAATCTCACACCACTTCCTGAATCGACTGTTAATTCCTAGTAAGAGTTTTGTTCATCCATCGGTGGGTTTGGGTTTACTTCTAGGGATCCATGTGGTCTAACGTTCTTTAAAAACGAACCAACTAACCACCGTTTCGTTTCCATGTTAACATTTCCTAGAGTAAGGATATTCCGTTCTGAAGGAAATCAAACCCCGAGTGCTCCCTGGAAGGACAGATCCTGAAGCTGAGGCTCCAATCCTTTGGCCATTTCGTGAGAAGAGAAGACTCCCCGGAAAAGACCCTGATGGGTCTTTTTCCGGGGAGGAAAAGGATATGCATTTATTTCCTCTTGAGGCACATGATCCTTCATGATACTTCTTAACTAATCTTATTTAGGTGAAAATTAGGACTGGCTTTTCTGTTCACGCAGCTTCCATGTTCACGAGGGAGAAGCGGCAACTCAAAGAAGTCCCCCCCCCTCCCATTCCTACCTTCACATTCACAGCCTCCTCCTTTGGCCCGGTTGGCGACGGCTGCCGTGTAGGAGCGGGCGTCCAGGATCAGCAGCTTCTGAGGGGTCGCCGAACACTCCACGCTCGAACATGCCGTCAGGGACGAATCTAGGAGGAAAGAAAACGGAGATAAAATCCATCGGAACTCGCCCATCTCTCGGCCGGGTGCCTCCCTTCTGGATGTTTTGAACAGCAAAAGCCCCAGGGAACGCGGCCTGTGGGAAGAAGTCACAGGAAACATCTGGAGGGCCCCCCCTAAGGCTGAGCAAGACAGCGCGACCTTCTTTGCTGGCAGCACAGGATGCAACACTCAGGGAAGTGAACGGAACCAAATCAAAGGCCCTGGGGGGAAAGGAAAATCCTCTGCTAACTGAAATCCCTGCTAAGGGATGGGGGCAAACATGTTGGCCATCTTTCTTCCTCGGTTCCCCCAACACGGCATTCCACGTGCAACCTCAGTAGGAACGAAGGGAAAAGTATTTCCCTTTTCCGTGGTGGAATAATCCTCAAGAGTGGACTCTGCCTTCTTTGGCACTGCTGCTCTTGAAGGGATCAGCCAAAGCAAGGTTGGAAGTTTCCTTCCAGTTCCGGCCTCCAAGGAAGGGAAATCCGAGCAGCCGGGAAGCAACTTCCACGATGCCAGGAAGGAAGAGCAGAGGGATGAGAGATGGCTGCCTTTCACAAACATGGAGGGATCTGTTTGGAGAGGACGGAGGGGTGCAGATCCTCATGGCGAGTCAGGGTATCAGTCGAGAGAAGACTTCTGGAACACCACTGGACCCACAGGTCCCCAGCCACAAACCACCTGTCTGGCTAGTCAACCCTGCCATTGGGGAAAAGGCCGCACTCTGCCCAGGGCTGCAGAACAAGAAGGAAAGAAATAGCCCCCCCCCTTTTACTTACCAAATCCAGCATCACAGGCCTCATTCCCATCGCTGAGCGCAGAATGTGGCATCCCTCCGGCCACCTTCTGCCCCGGGTTCAAGGCACAGGCTTTGGCGATGGAGGTGACAAGGTATTCGTCATCTGCGTTGCGCCAGCCCCACCAGCTGATCTCCGGCTGGCTGCAGCGGGCGATCACGGCCCCATTGCGCAGGTGCCTGGAAGAGAAGAGGGCACTCACTAGTCCCGGAGTCCCTCTTTCAAGAAGCTTCGGAACAGAATGGCTTCACCTTTCTGATTGAAACACCAACCACCTCCCGAGTGGGGAGAAGAGATCTCAAGATCCACATGTGAAGCCCAATGGATATCATGATGGTGACAGTGATCACACCCATCTGACCCCTCTGCTGGCTTTAGGCCCAACTGAGGACAGGCTTTCCAAACTGGGCAACCTTTAGCCGTGGGCATTTTGGCCACAGAACGATGGGGGTTGTAGTGGCTGGTTTGGGGAAGGTCAGCTGGGGAATCCCAAGGCAGCATCAATGTGATAAACACCAAACCTAAGTCACTGTTTCTGGCTATGGGAAAGGGAGAAGCAGGAGGGGGAAGAAACAGTCCCGGGATTTCCAGAAGACAGCCCTGTTTTTAAATTTCTTTCCTCGAGACAAAGCTTTTTTTAAAAAAATCAGTAACAACTAACCAAAGGTTTAAGGGAACTGAATCTTGGCCCAGGTTCCAAGCATAATCTTACTTAAAAGACAGTCTAAATACAGGTTGTGTTTCTACATTCCAAGAATAAAGGGCTTCTTCTTTGAAGATAAACGTTACTGGCACACAAGGACACCATGAGTGTCATTTTAACAGCCCTCCTCTCTTACTCTCTCTATTGCTTTGTCTACTTTTTTCCACTTTGCGTTTTGTTCAAAGAATCTTTTTTAACGGCTGTCTGGAGTTTAAATTAATGAACAAGCAAGCATATTGCCCCATGTTTTTTTTAAGGAACAAAACTGTTGTTTGTTTTATAATTTCAGTGGCTGTGAGTCAACGTAGGTCCCTTTGGGGGGGAAAGGTGGCTAATGAATGAATGAATGAATATTCAGAAAGGCGAATTCAGTGTAAGGGGAAAAATATTATTTTGGATCACAACTTCCAGGATTTCCCAGTCAGTGGCAGGCTGGGAGGCGTAGTTCAAAAAAACAACTTTTCTCAGCTCTGGGAGAATTAATTCTATGCCAAAGACCAGGCTTTACATCTGCATACAAAGAGCAAAAGCCTGTGGCCAAAGGCAAACAGGGTTAACTTGAAACAGCTCCTCATTGGTTGTTAACCAGTCCCCATGTAGATTTTCAGGTGTGAGCCAAACCCAGCGACCCAGCAATGTGCTAGCAAGTCCGAGCAGAGATTTGTTCGCTGCCAGTAAAAGCACCTGCTCCAAGTTACCGTGTTTGCCTTCTGGAGACGTTACCCTGCAACACAGGATCCTGGCCACTGGCATTAAAGCTGGATCTCTGAAGCAGCTTTTTTTCCAAACAGGCTCTAAATATGTAGCACAAGGTCTAGAAGAAAACCAGACTAGGGGAAAAAAGGATGCAGAGGGAAATCAAAAACACCCGCATTTTTCAGAGGAACAGACCATCTAAGGCTCCTGCAGAAGGGCAGCCTCTCGAATAAGCCGTGGGAATCTGAAGCTGGTCAGAAAATGGGTTCAGAAATTGAAAAATAAGGCTTCCAAAAAATAAAGCTTCCACCAATCGTATTTTGAAAACCTTCAAGCCATGCAAATCTCCAAACTTCCCGGCAGACTGGCTAGGATCTCACTGGTCCCTACTGTGCTCAGTGTGGGATCTTAGTTCAGTCTTCTCATTTCAGCCTAAGGCTGAAATGACCGGCACAGGGAATAAATGGGGCCTGAGCTACGTTCTTTAAGAGAATGAGGAAGCCTGGGAGGTTTTTTGAGCTTTGACAGCTGGGCAGAGTGCTCATGAACAACAGCTCTCACATTCCCTGGCTACCTGACATGGTGGCAGTGGCTGATGGGAGCCCAAGTCAAAAAGCACCACCTGCGTTCGACAGAAAAGGTGGGTTTTTTACCTGTACACGACTGCTGGAATCCTTTTCCAAGACCGGAAGGAAGCCACGTTCTCCAGCTCCTTATCCGTGATCCAGACCGGCACCAGGAGCTTCTGGGGGTAGCTGGTACACAGCCTAGGCAGGAAGAAGATGCAAGCAGGTGGCCATCACGACTCGGCCACGGAACGAGAGCCAAGGAAGTAGGATTGAGACCTCAGCTACTTACACTTCCATGGTCATGTCAATTGGGGGATTCACGGAGGAGCATTTTGAAATTTCCAGAAAGGGGACTGTAGCCAACTGCACAAACCATCAAACCCCAATCCCAGAAAGAGCGAAACTGGAAGTAGCTGGAAATTTCTACTTAGCTTTGACATTCTGGCTGACAAATGATACAGAGGCCCCACACCACATATTTAAATGGCAGATCTGGGATTCCTTATCACGGGAAGCCAGGCTGGCCTCGTCTTCGCTGGCCTTCTGTAAGCAGGTAAGGATCTTGCTCTTCAGGCAGGCTTTTCCTTAGGGACCGGCTGAGAGAGGGGTTTTTACAAATCGGATTGCTGCGCTCTATGGCTTTTAAATGTGTTTCTAGTAGTGATTTCATTCACAGTTTTTCATAGGATACTTGTTGAATTCTTTTTAAATCTCTGCATACTTGTTGTTTTTAGCTTTTAAATATTGTCCCTTTAATGACATAAGCCACCTTGGGTCCTTTTAAGGAGAACGGCCCGGTAAAAACTATTTGAAATCAATAAATCACAGATCCTGGAGCCTTCCAATTGTGGCCATATAACTGTTTTTGCTGGGGGTGGCGCTGGAATTTTGTGTCCGTGCATGCATGTGTGTGTCCCAGGTCTGTATCTGCACCTATCTGAATCCCCCCCACCCAAAATGAATTAATGTCACAGCAGCCTCTGTTCCGATCCCAGCCAGAAGCATCAAGGCGGGCAGGGAGGAAGCCTAGCCTTCATCTCAAGCTTACAACCTTGATGGTACTCTCCTGTTTACTACACCCAGAGGGAACAGGGGCCACTGATCCAAGTCTCTTCCTTCTCCTGTCTGCCCCCCCTGCGCCCCCCATCATCAAGCACCAAAGCGCTCATTGCAAGAGCTGCTCCTGTGACATAGCGGTCGTTAAAAGCAAACCCCCTTTGTGCTTCCCATTATAGGGAGGAGGAAACACTCCTCAGTATTGCATCTGCCAGAGAGGTCCTTGCAGGATAACGAGAGCACGCAGGCCCATGGAAGATCAGAGACCAGCACCCACCGGTTTGCCTCTCCAGGATGAATTCTGTGCCAACGTTTGGCTTGACAGATGCCCACAGCAACGCTCCTTCGTGTTTCCATCAGGGTACGAGGGGGGTGTTCCAATGGAGGGGGTCCCCCCACAGCACCCACCCAGAGGGCCAGGCAAACCGATGACTCACTTGTAGTTGCTGTTGATGTCAGAAACCCGCCACACGTTCTGCAAGTCAAAGCCCATCCGGGCCAGTTCCATCTCAAACGAGAAGTTCACATGGTCTCCTAAGGAAGGGAGGGAGGGAGGGAGGGAGGGAGGGAGAGAGGTAGCAAACAACCATGAGCAAGACCAAGAACTCCCAACACAACCTGGTGTTGAAATGCATAAAAGGGATTAATAGTAAAGATATTAAGGTGTAACAGCTGTTTTCTTAGTCCCAGCAATTTTTGATGTTCTACCCTCCGGGATCCCCCAGAAGACAGAGCAGTTTCCCAGAGCAGCTGTGGGGAGAAACGCTGGACACAATCCCCCACTCTCTGCCTGCTTCTTCCAGACTAATTCCTGCATATGATTAAGATGGACCGTCCTGCCCTGCCTGTGCCCAGATATGATTCTTCCCAGGATTTTCGTGTCCTATTTTGCTGCTCTTGTCAATTTCGGGCTCCTAGGTGGCTCAATTTCAAACTGCTCCCTTAGTCCATGTTAACAGCCTGAAACTGACCCGAGGGGCGGATGTGGAAGCCTGCGGAGGATGGCGGGGATTCCTGCACGGGATCGAAGGAATTACGTGCAGGAGTTCATGGGGAGAAACTGCAGACATTTTGCTGGCTGGGAAATTTTGGAGGAGAGATGAAAAAAGGCAGAAAGCACTGTCAAAGAGGCTGGACCATCTGCAACCCTAAACAATAGGGTGACTAGCCAAGCCAGTTCTCTCTCTCCAACTCCACCACCACCACCACCACCCCCGGTGAAGGCAGCCTGCAGATGTAGAGTGGAGGCTGTCAATGCAGCAGGAGGCGGTGGCACAGGGACTCACCTGGGCGGCAGAGGTGGGCGTGCTGGTCCTCCTCGTCAGCACAGACCCCCAAGCACCAGGCGTGGTAGGCGAAGGCAAAGAGGTCTTCCGGCTTGGTGGGGCGAGCGATGGCTCGGCTCAGTCGCTTCAGCCATTCCTGGCATTGCTTGAAGGTGGAGAAATGGCACCTGCAAAACGGCACAGGCAGATCCATGGGAGCGCAGCCCTGGGGAAGGCACGCCGGGGACCAGCCCAGAGATTACCGCTCAACGCCATGGGGGCAGGGAGAAGAGGCAGGTTGAAATTAAAACACCAACGTCAAAACTACAGCCCTGTTGGTAATGAATGCTTGTGTAAGGGAAACCACATAATTAATGAAGTGCTGGCTGTTTTCCTGGATGTATGTAAATATACCCAACCGTGCTCTATTAACAAATGGAAAACTGCCACAAAAACTTATAATTTCCTTTTGCCCCATGGTAAAGTTGCCAGTCCGATCCTAGCCATCAAAGGACCTGGTCATGTAGTTTAGTTGACAGAAATGACCATGGCCAAGCGACGGTTTTTAGAAACTGCTAAATCTGACAATTAAATGGAGATACGCCTCCTTGGCTGGGAGCAGTGGGAGAAATGGAGCCTTCCTGCACAGGGATAGTCTACCTTTGACAGAAAAGAGACAATGAGGGCGCTTGACTTTATGTTTTGACTCTATGCTTGAAAGGTGTGTGTGTGTGTGTGTACAGTGGTGTCTCGCTTAACGAGCGCACTGTTTAACGACGAATCCACATAGCGATCTGTTTTTTCAGATCCCTAATGCGATTGCATTGCAATGTTTTCATAGGCAAAATATCGCATTGCAATGATCGGTAAGCGTTTCGCTTACCGATCTTCGCATTGCAATGTTTTTTTAAACAGCTGATCGGCGGTTCCAAAATGGCCGCCGGACGCCCAAAATGGCTGCCGCAACCATTTTCGCGCCCTGCCCTCGCTTACCGAGGGTGCGAAAATCGCGGCGCTATGGAGGAACTTCGCTGAACGGTGAGTTTGGGGCCCCATAGGAACGCATTAAACAAAGTTTAATGCGTTCCTATGGGGTTTTTTGATCCGTTTAGCGATGTTTTTGCATAGCGACAATTAATCTGGAATGGATTAACGTCGCTATGCAGGGCACCACTGTATCTGGAAGCCTGCTGCCAACCAGAGAAATGCCGGGCTGCAGGACCTGATAAGCGACTGGGCTGCAGACCGTCCTGGCGACTCCACTGATTTTAGGGAAGCAATGCCACTCCAGATGTTGCTGGACTACGACTCCTATCAGCCCCAGCCAGTGGAGGCCACTGAGAGGAATGACAGGCGTCTTGGTCCAAGTGCATCAGAACACATACAGCCCATTTCTTGTGGAAAGGGTCAGGCACTGCACCAGGTGGTCATTTTTTTGGGGGGGGAGACACATCACCCTCTTTGCCTCCCAGTCCTGACCGGCAACTACACAGTTTATGTGTTAGGTTTCCTCTTTTTAAAATGTCTCACACATCATGCTGAGACATGTGGATGAAGAAGGGGTGCTTCACGTATACAAACTTTTAAACTCTTCTCCTTCTTGCTCATACCTGATGACCTTTGAGTCCTTGCAGACGATGTGAAGCTGGAACATGTCCCGGCTCTCCACGCTTTCCATCATCCTCAAAGGCACCTGGGAAAAAGGGGGAAGGGAGCATGAGCAACCCATGCACATTCCTGCAGGCTGGTGCCCTTCCGTTCACCTGGCTCTGAAATACGCGGGAGACAATCATCCCCAGGGCGGGACGAAAAGACCTTCCTCGGTGGGGTCAGGGGTGGTGAAAAGGAGGGTGGAAGCTCAGCCCTGGGTGGGAACTGGACACGGTGGGGTAGGAGCTTTTTGCAGCCATGC